TTTGTTATTATGTATATATGTGTATATATATATATATATATATATATAAATGTTTTACATAGTTATAATCAAGAATAATTCTGCCTTACATTCTTTTTTTTAAATTTAACACCGTATTATAAACATGGCTTCCTGTTATTATCTAATTCTTATAACTTAAAATGGCTTTATCCTGGTCCATTTAAAGGAAATACTATAATTTACGTAGCCATTACCTTATTGTTGGAGATTTAGGTTGCTTACAGCTTGTCTCTGTAGAAATCCATTTTACAATGAATATTTTTGTGCATATGAAAAAGTAATAACTTTCAAAGGAAATCTTTAATTCTTCTACCATTTTTTTCTTTCCAAATACCTTATGGCATCTGTTTCTTCTATGCTGTCTATAACTTTGCATTTTGTGTGTCTTATTTTTAGCCACTGTAACATGTGCCAAACCTAGTCTCTATCCCTGTGGTCTCTGTGTCACCTCCACCCACTTCGCCAAGACTGCAAGACAGTTGCTCTAGAATTCTTATGACTCAAGGATCCACGCGATGCACAAGATTGTCCTCGGGGGTGCCCTTGACCTCCCAAAATTGTATGCAAAATTGGGTTTGTTCATTTTCTAGCATGAGGATATAGATCATGTATCAGATTCTCAAGTAGAATTGAGAATCTGTAGAATCAAGTAGAATTGAGAATTTTGTCCAAGTGACAAAAAAAGAATAAGAATCATTGCCTAGGGCTCTCTTTAGCATCATTTACCTCTTTTCCTCCACTGGGCCTTTGCCTCTGCTTTTGGTCAGATTCTAGCCTAAAACCTCCCCTATTCTAACCTTCAAATTGCCATCCTCCTTTTTCCTCTGGCCTTCCCTTCACTGTCAACCTTTTTGAATGAATAGTTATACCTGCTGTGTTCATTATGTACCTTCTGTTTACATTCTAACTCCCGGGTTTCCTCATCTCATTCTGTTGAAATCGTTCTTTCAAAGATGGCATATTCCTACTCGTTACATAACCCAGTCATTGTTTGTTATTCTTCACTCTGACTTCTCTTTAGCATTTGGGATTGTAGCCCTTGATCTTAACCTTACCCTTTTCCTCCTGGGCATCTGAGTTACTGCCTCCTCCTGGACCTTCTTCTCCTGGGGCACCTCATCTCTTACTGCTTGCCCCTCTTTTCCCTGCTGCCAGATGGAGTTCTCCTATAATTTCCCATTATCATGTCCCTTTTCCCTCCATATTCTTCTCTTTGGCCATCTCATCCAGACCCTGTACATGTAGCTCCTGACTCTCTCCTGAAACCTAGGTCCGTATTTATTAGTATCATCTCCACTGGGATACCTGAAAGTACTTCCAACATGTCCCAAAACAAGTTCATCATCTGCCTGCAGCTCCTCTGGACTTGAATGTTTCCATGAACAGCACTACCACGCTCTGTCAGTCAGGCACAAAGCTTGGATCACCCTGGACTCATCACCCTCCTTTGCTTTCGGTCTTCTCATTGTATTCTAGGCAGAGGCTTATTGCCTCTCTCCCCACAGTGCCTCTTCCTGCTGCTGCTGCCACTCTCGTTTAGCCTCTCTTTTACCTGTCACCAGGACTGTTGCAGTGGGTTTTCATCTCTTCTTGCATCATCTTTCATTCTCCCTTCACCATGATCAATGCATTTTACCAAACACTGTCAGATTTACTTTTCTAAGATATGGGCCTGTTTCTTCAATGCTTTGTTCATTCTACTTTTGAATGTTGTATTATCTACCAAGTTACCTCAACGTTAAAAGCCCTCCAAATTCTGACCCCAAACTACTTCCCCAACACTCTCCCAAATACATCCTATTTCTTCATATTGACTCAGCTCAGGTTTTGGTATTTATCATTATAATATATGGGTTCATAAATACTTAAATTCATGGGTGAGGGAGGGTTGCTTTTTAAAGCAAAAACCCCATATCGTAGTTATTCATCCAATTTGTTCTTTTTCCCTAAGACTTACCTCCCTTTGAAGGTTTAGGGTTCAATTTATTACGATTCAACAAAAGTATTTTGAGCAGCCTGGCACCTGAAAGGAAAGATGCCCCATCTTTAACACTCTTAAACCAGAAGCACCCGCATCCATGGAAGATGCAGAGGCTTTCTCCTTGTCCTGTTTATGATGTGTATTGGTAGAGTCTCCACAGGAAACAAAAAGTTCACTCAAAAGAGGTGATTGAGGAGAGTTTAATAAAGAAACAATTCACAGACATATGGAAAAGGTTAAGGGAAACTGACCAGAAAGGGTGGGAAGGAGCAGGTTACTAGAACTCAGTAAGACGAGTACCTGCAGGACAGGGTACCAGACAAGAGCTGTGACATTCTGTAGAGGAACAAGTTCACTGCTAAACCTCAGCCTGGCAGGCCGGAAGCTGAGGGAAAGTACTCCAAGATCTCTCGCCTCCTATTCTTTGATCTCTGACTGGTACCTCCCAGTGTTCAAACTCAACCAAAAGCCAGGAGCGGGAGACCTTGGATAGTACATCCAAAGAGGTTGGCCTCCTGTGGCACAGAGGGGAGAGCTAGAGAAGGATGAAGGGTGGATCTGGAGGAGGAAATGGAGAGCATCCAGAACTTTATGTCACCTCTGGTGCCTGAAGGTCTTTCTCTAGAAAGAGAGAAAATTTGTCTTGGCCAAAGCTCCTGGGCTGGCTCAGTAGCCATGGGTCACATTATGTACCAATGGGGATTTTTGCCTGTGGAAGGCTCAGAGGTGTAATTACTGCAATAAAACACCCTTTTCCCTCTGTACTCTGCCCATCTCCAAGCCAGGAAGCCCTTGTCTCCTCACTTCTCATCTCTTTCCTACTTTCTTCTCATCTCTTTCCTACTTTCTTCTCATGTTGCCAGATGGTTTCAATAAAATTACTGGGCAGATAGTAAATACTTATAGACCAAATTAAATGAGACATGTTAAATTTTATTAACGATTTGCATTACAACTCATAATTTACATTAGATTGCACTGCTTGGGTAATAAAAAATGTATAATGAGAAAGCTGACTTAATTTTGGAGGAAAATTACATTGAAGTGGCTGGTATGTTTCCATTAATGGAATGCACAGAGTGGAGTGCCTAGCAATTCTCTTCTGAGTCCCCAACGTGAAACCCTGCAGGAGGAAAGGCTTTGTGACAGGAACTGTTGACGACCTGTCGCCTTCTCCTCAGCATTCTTCTCTTCTCGTTCCTTGCTCCAGACTGCCCTTCTCACTCACGCCCCCCACAGGTCTACCACTGGACACTGAAGGGGATGAGAAGCTGGGGCTGGGGTGTTGCTGGTGGCCAACACTGAGGTGGTATCTCCCAGTTGGGGAAGGTCAGCAAAGTGAGAAAAGAGGGGAGAACAAAGCGGGGACAGCAATCTTCCTGTGTCAGGCAGGTCACAGGGACACCCGAGAGAGTCAGAATGTGGCACTGGGAACCCCAGGGGGTTAAACTTTGTCATTGGGGCTGATTCTCTGCAGCACAACACCAAGGGCAAAGCAAGCCCCTGAAGTTTGAATAAAGGGTTGTTCAAGAACATGGGATCTATAAAATCTAAAACAGACTGAAATCAATAGGGCTTTTCCTTGAAAACCTATAAATAGTTTTCTGAAATAATTTTTTTTTTTGCCTAAGATCTTGGAAAACTATTTCCAGTAGCTCTCCCTATGACATTGCTTCCCTGCTTCCATTTGTGTACACCCAGGGCAGCAGTGAGGTAGGGGTGTGTGCCCACAATCAATATGCCTGCTGTCTTCTGCATGTGACAGTGTGCATATAAGAGGACTGGGTGGCAGTGTCATTAGAGAATCTTAGGCTTTAAAGAAGTCACCAAACTCTATAATTAGCTCCTGTACGTGTTCAGGTTAGGCAGGGCATAGGTAGGTCTCTCTGAGATTAGAGCAGAGAATAAGTCCCTAACTAGAGAGAAGCTAGTTTATCAAATCGCCTCTTGTCTCATTCCCTTGGGACTCGCCCTTTAAGTCCTTTGAGCACCACTATCCCTGGTCCCAGGAAGACATGGTCCAGTCTACTCTCTCGGGCTCACAGCTGGACTAAAAAAATTAAGCCCATTTTTTCTGCCTTTTCTCACATGGCTGAGCCAGTCTACGGAGCTAAAACAGGGCTGAGCTTCATGATCACAGATCCGTAAGATGAGAAACAAATGCCGTACAAATTGCTTCTCTCTTATTTACATCTATGTTATTTTCCTATGTATTTTAGTATATCTATCTTTTGCCATCTGGGGATTCTCTTTCTGTAGGTAACATCTCCCTAACCTGGGAGGATTTTCAGTATTAAGTCAGTGAAAGCAAGTTGTTCCAGGGCAGGTAGACTCACAGTCTTGACCTTTGTGGGCACTTTCAAAAGACCTAGCCTGCCCATACAAATAGACATCACGAGTGTGTAAATCCCCTGGAAATAGAGATTACATACAGGAGATGATCCTTGATCCACCACTGAATCTAGATACTCTAGACTACTCTAGAGTAGAGTATACTCACTCTACTTCTCAACCTTGATTTCGACCTGGTTCTTCAGTCTTTGGAATTTACCTTTTCATTGCCTGATGAACTGTTGGGATGGCTTACCCTTGGTACTGACCATTGGGTGTGACTGGTCACATGAACACAACCAAGGCATCTGCCTGGGCTCAGTGGAACTTATTAGCAGGGCTCACTTCCTTCTCCTCCCTCTCACCAGGTGATGAAATCTGGCAATATGCACACTGCCTCATGCCTCACATTGTTACTGAAGAAATGGGAAGCATTAAGAGTTTGAGTAGCATAAATTTCCTGATATGATGCTAAAAAACGTACTCACTAGAGGAAACAGGAGTATAAACTCATTTTAAAAACATGACACCATAGAATATTTCAGCAATGAGACTTGAACAAAGCTGGTCCAAGGTTTTAGTAAACTTTTGTCTCCTCATGCACCAAACCCAGCACCATTCTCCATCCCTTGCTCCCTAAATAAGAACAAACATGAAAACAACTTACTGTAAACTGGATTTGGCAGCCACCCATGATGTAGTCCAAGAAAGAGTGCATCTTGTGGATCTGTATAGGAGGAGGAGAAGAGACTGGGTTAATAATAGCATGGTCTGTTTCCTGATATAACAGAGGACTAAACTTTGGGAATAAGCTGATAAGCCAGAGGAAAGAGCAGAAAGACATCTGTAGAAAAAAGATGGGTCAGTTGATTTTGTTCTATTAAAGGAGAGAAAGAAAGCAATGTCAATACAGATGGGCCTGTGTGGGCTGCCAATATCCACCCTTGCTCCCCTCTCTTTTGGTTTATGCATGATTTTAATCAGCTCTGCCTCTGGGGTAAGACTTAAACTATATTTTCAAAGGTCATTACTGTTTTGAAATCAATGTCTCACATTTGCCTTCAGTCTTGCTTCCCTGTGTCTCAGTCCCAGTCTTGGTAACATTCTTTAATACACAGATAATCTAGATTGGTAGCTTCGAGATTATAATTAGCTGGGAAGGTAATTTACTGATAATTTCCAGTTAGTTAGACCCCTACCCTGCCACGAATAACAATGGCTAACATTTATTGAGTTACTGTATACCAAGTACTTACTATATGCCAAGTATTTAACATCTTTTACCTCATTTAATTCTTGGAACCATGCTGTGAATGTGATATAATTATTATTATTGTACCCATTTTATAGATGAGGAAACTGAGGTTACAATAACAACTCTAATAAATGATGGAGTTGAGACTCAAATGATACAAGTCTGAACTGCATAGTCCATCCCTTTGACCTCTATGCTGGAAGTCAGTATAGTCATTGCTTTCTGCCAACTGCTACCATCTGTGTTCTCATGTTCTTTACTGATATCTTGTCTTAATTTCTGCTTCTTTTTGCTGTTTGGCTCTTGGTAATATTCATCTATTCAACAAGTATTTATTGAACACCCACTATGCACTAGATGCTAGGAATACAGTGATTAGAGAAACAGATGTACTTACAGTCATAGAGCTTACAGTCAGGATCTTCCTACCTAGATAGCCAGTAACTGTGACATTTGTCCCTTGCTTCTCAGATTCCATCTAATGCTCAGGGAAGCTTCTGAGAGACTGACCCCCAAAATCCTGTGTTGGTCTCTGTAGGTACCACCTTTCAAGGTGGCACACATCTATTGGCAGACTTTTCTCAGGGTTGATGTTCACTTGGCCCTCTATTAGTGCCTGCTCCTGGATTCCTTATGGCAATGCTTTGCCTGATAGTAAATTGAGAACCTTCTGGAAAGGATTCACGATTCTAGATGCCATTCATGATTCATGGGAAGAGGTCAATATATCAACATTAACAGGAGTTTGGAAGAAGTCAATTTCAACCTTATGGATGACTTTGAGGTGTTCAAGACTTCAGTGGAGAATGCAGATGGGGTGGAAATAGCAAGAGAACTAGAGTTAGAGGTGGATCCTGAAGATGTGACTGAACTGGGCAATCTTATGATAAAGCTTGAGTGGATGAGAAGTTGCTTCTCATGGATCAGCAAAGAAAGTGGTTTCTCAAGACAGAATCTACTCCTGGTGAACATGCTGTGAACACTGTTGAAATGACAACAAAGGATTTAGAATATTCCATAAACTTAGTTGCTAAAGCAATGGCAGGGTTTGAGAGGATTGACTCCAATTTTGAAAGAAGTTCTACTGTGGGTAAAATGCTATCAAATAGCATCACATGCTACAGAAAAATATTTTGTGAAAGAAGGAATCAATCAATGCAGCAAACTTCATTGTTGGTGTTCTTTAAAAATTGCTTCAGCCACCACAACCTTCAGCAACCACCACTCTGATCAACCATCAGCGCCCATGAACATCAAGGCAATACCCTCTACCATTAAAAAAGATTATAACTTGCTGAAGGCTCAGACAATTGTTAGCATTTTTTAGCAATAAAGTATTTTTTAATTTAGGTATATACTTTTTTTAGACATAATGCTATTGCACACTTAATAGGCTACAGTTTAGTATAAACATAACTTTTATATGCACTGGAAAACCAAAAAATTTGTGTGACTCACTTTATTGTGGTCAACTAAACCCAAAATCTCTCTGACGTATGCCTATATATATACAATATATATGAATATATATATGAATATGTAAACACATATAAGGACATATATATTGTGTGTGTGTATATATATATGTATATGTATAAATAATATGGATGACATTTAAGTCCTGCGTGGTGAAGTCAGACATGGGTTAAAATCTCAGCTCTTAAATTTACTACTCGTGTGACTCTGAGCTAGTTATATTACCTCATTTGAAAGTAGAAATCTCAGGTTTATGATAAGAGTTAAACAGAGTTTATTGTAGTTACTTTCACACAGTAAATATTCAAGTAGTGGCAGAATTAGTCTCAGATGTGATTTAAAAGTTTTAATTATTAGCACATGTGATTCCCTGCAAAGTTGTAGCTCCTTTGGGAGGAAATTCTAGGCCCTGTAATCTTCTCTTTTTGTCTTGTTTTTATGGAACCCTTTCAGCATGAGTAAGGTACTACATATAAAGTACTGGGCACTATGAAAGGCACATAGTAGGTGTTCTAGAACCTCATTTGGGAATCTCCCTCTGGTGCTGCCCTGGCAGAGAAGATCTTGACCTGTGACCAGAACTCTCCTGTCTTTGGGGGCAGGACTATCCCAGAGGAGAGGATGGTGGCATTGGGCTGCCACAGCTCCAAAACCACTCAAGCTTTTACATTTATCATTTTATGTCCATTAATACATTGAATATTTGATTTTATTTTAAAAAGATCGCATCTATTTGACACTCTTTTCCTCTGACCACATCACCTGAATTCTTCCTCCCAGTCAGCCCTAGCTTCATACTCCGGGAAGAGAAGGCTGTATACATACCTTACACTGATTCAAAATCACAATGCCTGAGTTCTTATAATTCTTCTTCTTGGCTTTGTACTTGGGGTTGATGCACTCCCACTGCACCTGCAACAAGAAGGGTCTCAGCATGAGAACCTGCTCAGGAAGAACCTGTTCGAGTCATGCAATGAGGCCAGGCCACTGGTGCTGCTGGACAAACTGAACTGGTAAGAGGAGAAGTAGCATTGTTAGGACCAGACGACAGTAACTGACTGATATATTGATATATGAAAGTGTGCGTGTCTGTGGGAAACACAGAAGGGGTTTAGTTTTCTGTGTAGTGCAATATGTCTTTGTGGCATGTGGTCGTGTTTGGGTACTCGCCTTGGTATCAAGGCAAGTGTAAGAGTGTGTAAGAGTGAAATGGTAGAAATAGATGAAAACCTGGTGCCCATAATAAAAATTTGGAGGATTCAAGTCATTTCTCCAAAGGATTAAGTGTGTTATGAATGTCAGCAAATCATGGAAATGCGGAGCTGGGAAGAATACCACTACCAATAGCAGTTATTTTGGAAGTGCTAGCTATATGGTAGTTGCTCTGCTAGTCATATCATGGATTGTCTCATTTAATCTTCATAAAATTATGAGGTAGGTACAATTATCACCCTCATATTTTATGTGAGAAAAATGAGGCATAGAGAGATTAGGTATTTTTCTAAGCCTACACAGCTAAAAAAATTGGAAATATTCTCGCTAAGCTTAGCATTTTACTGATGGAGACATTGTCGTATTTGGAGGCAGTGTCTTGTCCAAGGTCACATAATTGCTTTGGGTTGGGCTAGTTCTAGAATGTAAGACCTAGTTCTAGAAACTAGGTACTCAAATGCCGCCATACTCCCTTCTTATTACACTTAATCATACATTGATGTTTTTCCTCTGTTTTATTTGTAGCTGAGTGCTAAGGATGCATGACAGAGAGTATCTGGGGCAAAACCACGAGTGGTTTACCATGTACCTGTTTCCCTTCCAATGCTCCTCTCATCTCCTTGAATGTGGAGGTGAATTCTCCAATGAAGTCATGTTTGCCATTGGAGTCCCAGTCCCATACTATGCACTGCAAGAGAAAAGAATTATTATTACTTTTTAAAAATTAAGAATGCAGCCACAGCAGCTGAAGGCAATGTGAACTCTATAAGGAAGAGTGGATGAAAGAAGTTTGGTCTGGAACAAAAGCCCAGGAGTCTGGGATTGCAGCATGTAGGATGTAATATTCCTTAGGTTTCTATAACCCTTTACTTGGCCTTTTTGCTAAGATCTCCAAACAGTCCTGTGATGCAGCAGTGACTACGATAATTTGCCCATTTTTCAGATAAGGCCAGGAAGACCCAAAGAAGATAAGTAATTTGCTGAAGGTACCATCTAGTGAGTGAAAACCTGGGACTTGAAGGCAGGTGTCCTGCCCCCAATTCCAGGGCTCTCTTCCCCATAGCAGATAGCCTCGCTGGTTTACAGCCAGAATCAAATGCCCGAGTCCCTGTCTGTAGCTTCCACAATAGCAGCTTCTGTTTAATGATTTGAATGGGGCCACATTAATCACATTTTTCTTTTTCTATTTTTTTCTGAAGGCAAAAGAACAATGCCAACAAAAGAGAGTAAGAAGGCAAAAAAGCAAAATCTTTAATGTACTCACACAAAAAATGGATGGAAGACGGTGATGGAAGCAGCACTGGTAAATATCACGCACCCATCACGCACAAGATGCGACTATTCGCTTCTGACAAGAGGGCTCCTTTTGACAATGTTAAGGCTAAATTCTGAACTCCCAAGTGACACTTTGTAGAGTGACTAGATTAGATCAGCAGCAATCCCTCTGCTTGGTCACATGTCTCGGTGAACAGAAGGTTGTCCATTTTTATCCAGGGTAGAGGTTGGACTAGGGTCTTTAGATATCACTTCTACATCTTAAGCCGATAATTTGCAGCAAATAAGTCCCAGACCTCAAATAAGATGAAGGCAGCAAAGGGGACCTTTTACTTAGGGGTTCTCTTTGGAATATTGGGTTCTAAGAGGCAACCTGGTCCTTCCTCAGGATACAAATCCCAATGGCCCATCTTGCCTTGAAAAATCTGATTTGAAAATCTGTTCCCAGATCCTGTGGGATGCCCCACAGATCTGCAATAAAATATGCCCAAAATGAAACATAGTTTTCCCCCTAAATTTATTCTTACTCATTTATTTTCTGTCACTGTGAATCACACCAACATGCATCCAGTTGCTACAAACAGAAAACTGGGCCTCATTCCCATTATTCCTCTCTCCCCTCACCTTCCCACATTGGGTCCTCTCCATTCTGTCTCCTAAATATGGCCCAACTCCAGCACTTCGCTCCACTCTCACTGCACCTTCTCACCTGCATTACTACAGCAGTCTCCCAGCCTGTCTCCTCGCCTTGCCTTTCCTGTACTACTCTATCCCCTATGACCCACTAGTTATGTTAATTCCCTGCTTAAAATTAAAATGTGCATAGGCTAATAGGTCTTCCGAGGTCTTTCATGATTTGACTCCCTCAGTATTCCCAAATTCACCCTTTATGATCCATGTTTACAGTATTTTAAAGTTTCTCTTATATGAGGTTGGTAGGAATAAAAAGCATTTACTGAGACTCTTTTTTTGAGGCATCTTAGAAAAAAACTAATTTCTCCACTTCTGCTCTCTCTTTAAATGTGGAGGATTTTTTTAGGTAGTTATTTTGCTTAGAAAACATGAAGAAGCCCTTTGGTTAGGAAAAAGAATGCATTAGAATAAAGAAGAATGGAAAAGGTTAAGATAAAAAGAGCTAAGTTGCTCTGCTGAGAAAAGTAACGGTCAAGTTGAATTTTCTCTTTGGTAACTAGAGACACAGAGGTGAGACCCAGAAGTGAGGGTTGAGAAGAAATTAGGGCAGATTTCATGAGAGGGCTGAAGATGGACCCAGATTTGCGGTGGGAGGAGGTGAGAGACAGGTAAAGAATTTTGGAAACTGTGATGTCTAATTTTCAAGGTTGGGTTATTTATATGTCTCTCTTCTCCGTTCCTCTCTGACTTACCCCCCTCCTATTAACCCTGAGACTCCAGTAAATCTGCTACCTGCAAGAGCATGGTACTGGTGGCGACTTGGAGAATCAAGGAGAGGGGCTGTGTCCATGTTGTGGGACAAGCAGACCAGAGAGCAGCACGAGATGCACAACAGTGACTGGGAATTGAGTAGGGAGCAGGACTGTGAAGGGAGAGCTTGACAGGTGAACCCTAGGAGGGGGACTCCAAAGAAATGCTGTAAAGGGCTTTCAGCTTCTGCAGTGACATGAAATTAGAATTCAAGTTATTTTATTTAGAATTTAAAAAAAGTTTGATCCTAGAAAGTTGGAGAATTACAATAAAAATTTAGTTATAATCACTACTCAATTTACACTAACTTGTTGGTAATTATTTTTACTCAACTGGGAGATGCTAAAAGGAAATTACTATCACGTGAAGGTCTGAAAATTCTTTTAATTAAAAAAAATGACCCTTGAGCTTGTAAAGTCTGCTTTTAGTGCTGTGACTAAATATTTCTAGTTTTCCTTCCAGTCACATGGTAGGATTATATTTCTTTGTCCCTATATGTTTGGCTGTGGCCATGTGACATGCATTGCTAATGAAATACAAGTAGAAACTACCTGAGTCACTTTCAGGTGGAAGCTTGAAGAGCTGGAGCTTGATTTACGTGTTTTATCACCCCCCCTACTTTGGTGATCACCAACATTCCTCACAGTAGCTGCTGTGAACCTGAGTCCCTCCGTGAGGGTAGTGTAGAGCTCCCAGATGACCCGTGATGGTCATATGTGTATACAAGAAATAAACCTATTGTTTTCAGCCACTGGGGTTACTACAGCATAACCTAATCTAAAGAACTATTTAAGTACTTAAAGCACTGTCATAGGAAAAGGTATTACAATTTACTTAGTCTGACTCCAAAAGTGAGAAAAACAGAATTTTGAGAGGAGGTTACAAAGAAGTAAAAAAAAAAAAAAAAAAGCATTTTCCAATCAACCTGTTCAAAAACAAAATAATCTGTTTGTAAGAGTGTGTTTTTATTGCTGGAAATGTTCAAGTGGAAACTATAGGACCACAGGCAAAAAATGTAGCAGAGAAAGTCAAATGGAGAAAGTTATGAAGAATTTGGTGGGATATTTTAAAACTTTCTTCTAACTTGGAGATGGTAAGATTAGATCGAGTTGCACAGGCTGCAAAATAAAGTCAATGGAAGGCTTAGCTCATTCTAGTTGAAATGTTATGCAATGCAGCATAGTTTTGGTAGAAGTAGTAAGAACCCCTTTTTAATTCAAGGTAGGACGAAGTTCTACCTCACTTTTTCCAATGGGCAGTGAAACAAATCAATGATTCAGTCATTTGGAAAAGTTGTTCAGGATGTACATTGTGACCACCACATCGTGGGACACAGTGACCTGATCTGCTGTTACGATGAGGTGTTTTTCTTTCTGTTTGCCAGCCCCTCCTTATTGACGCAGACACTCACTCATTTCTTCCTTGGAGCAAGAAACAGAAGAGAGCTTGCTGGGCCTGGACATAGGAATAGGAAAGAAGGGTGGTTCCTGAGGCTCTGTCTTTGAGACTCATAACTTTGCCTGGTAGTAAACCTAACCTGAGTCTGACACTCAGATACTTACTCTTCTACGTTTGGGAGAAGCAAATAAAAAGGGAAAGAGGGCAGAAACAAATAAGGGAAAAGAAGTGGAAGCAGCCTTTTCAACATTCCCTAGCATTGGTTAAGAAAGTAGGCATCCCTTCTGTAGGGGAAGGGACATAAACCACACATCACTCCTTCTTTGCCCTTTTGGATTTCCCATCATGCTTTGGTTAATCACTGTCCCTCCTTCACCACAACCTTCAACTTGGTGTTTGTAATGTGCTCTCTGGCTGGGGCAGAAAGGGAGTGACCACCATCCTCCTCCCTGAGCTGGAGGACGAGTCTGGCCTGACACAACTCCAGTCGGGGGCTCCCGCCAGCAGGCAGCGCTGTTTACAAGGGCCTGTTTCTTCAATCAGTGGGCATTCCCAACGATGGCAGTTGCAGAATTGTTTTGACCTTTCTGAGAAGGGATCCCAAAGGAAGTAAGTCACGGTGAAGCAGACAGATAAAAACACTGGCTTTCCTTCTCTCCCTGCCATGAAGCTGGCTTACGACAGCTCTGATGTAGCTGACAGAGGAACATATCTTAGTGAAAAATAAACAGATCAACCAACCTGCAGAAAGACTGAGACGCAGGCAGAGTTCTTGGTGTGAATCAATAAGAAGGTCTTGACATATTTGTGAGAACTCAGCATCTCAAAATTATCTGCAAGCCAGAAAGCCTTCTCAGTTCTTACATCTCACAGAGAGGTTTAGGTATAGAATCTTAAAATGTGTCCGCTCAACAGAGACGGTCTAGTGAACTCCCTCATTTTACAGAAAAGGAAATTGATGGCAGAGAAGTGACTTCCACAAGTTCACCCAGTACAGGGGATACTGAATTCTAGGTTTCCCGCCTCCCTAATTTCACTGCTAACACACAAACAGCAAATTACGATTTGCTGTATAAAAACTACATAGTGCTTATTATGTGCCAGACCTTGTTCTGAGCACTTCATGCATACCAACTCACTTAAACCACAGAACTTATTGTTGTGTTTATTTTACAGATGAGGAAACTGAGGCACATAAAGGTGAAGTAACTTTCCCAAAAGTATACAACTAACCTTAGGTAGTCATTGAAGTTAAGGAAGTTAGGCTTCATTGATTGTTTTAACTGAGCATCTTTTATGAACCCAGGCCATTTGTGTTTATGGTCTTTAATTCTTTACAGTAACCCTGAAATGACAATATTATTACCATTTACAGGTGATTGCCATTCACAGGTGCCGTTTACAGGCTTAGAGAGGGTACATGACTAGGCTAGATATCTGGTAAATGACAAAGGTGGATTTGAACCAAGGTGTCTGATGTCATAGCTGATATGTTTTTTGTTATGCTATGCTGATTCTTAATAGAAGCTGTAATTAAGAATTAGGTCTCCTAAGTCCACTGTGTGTAAAATC